TGTGTGTATATGATATTTTGTGTTATGGCAGACCATATCTTTTCCGCTGCAAATTTATTGAAAAAAATTCAGTTAAATTATTTGGAAAAATATTTGTGGAAATCTTGACGCGTATTGTGGCATCCCGTTTTTTAGAGAAACTCTGATATGTGTTTTATTTGTTTGTTTTATTTTATTTTGGGAACGGGGTGTTACAAGTTGGTATCAGAGCAGGTCGGTCCATCCGGCCAAGTTGTCTTGTGTTGTAGTCTAATCCCCTGTATGTGGCATGTGTAAGAAACACTGTCGGTACATGTTGTTGTCTAGCTCTGTTGGTAGAAGTGGAATGCTTTGAGTGGGAAGGAGCTTGTGCTTATCCCGGGTGCTGCACGTGTGAAATTGTAACTCGGTGTATGGTTGAACGTTCCTATAGTTTGGTAATGATGGTTCATACCCCATCATGATTCTCGGCTGTCTATCGGAAAATTGAGGAACTGATCACCCTTAATCTCTTGTTGATAACAGTTGGGATTGTGTTGGATGGAATGGGCGAGTCTTGCAAGCTTAGGTGGCGTGAGCAGGAAATTGTCTTAAGTCGAGCTAAGAGCTTAAGGGATTATTTTGAGGAGTTAACGTAAGACGTGTTAAGGTGTTTATGTTAACGGAAATTTTGAATGCTAAGGAAAGTGAGCTAATTAGGGTTTGTCAATAACGGTGATTGTTCGGAGATTTCTTGGGGAGTTAAGTGATTTACTACCGGAATATGAAGTGAAGCTTGCATAATAACTTCGTTCTTGGGACTAGTCTGATATTAGTGACTCCATATTGTGTGTCTGCGTTGGGATTGGAGAAATTGAAGAATCAACTTGAAGACCTGCTGGAAGAGAGGTCCTTTTGTTTGAGTGTGTTACCGTAGGATGCACCAATTTTGTTGGTTAGAAAGATATGAGGTTTTGTGAAACTTTGGGTGAACTATGGATAAGGAATCAAGGTGACTATCAAGGATAAATGTTCGCTTCCAAGAGTTTATAATTTGATGGACCAATTGGTTGGAGGATGTGAGTTCGGTGGTCACGTGATCTTAAGTAAATTTATTATGGTTGATGTGTCGAAGATCGAAGTTGTAACGCCCATTTTAATTATTTTTGGTTTTCGGGATTATTTTATTTGAGATTGTGCTTGAGGATTATTTTTGAAGGATCAAGAACTCATGATATTGGTATGTAGTGATAAAAATATGATATTTAATAGTAATGTGATATTATTATTAATTATTATCATTTTTATTACTAATATTAATTTTATGAGTGAAATTATAATTTAATTGGATTTTTGGAATAAAAGTATTATGAGAAATATTATTATGAGTTAATTGAATTAAAAAGAACTTTTGGGGGTATTTAGGGTAACATTGTCATTGTGGTGAGAATTAGAATTGGAAGAAGAGAAAGAACACGGTAGAATGAACGAAGAACAGAGGAAGAGAGTTTGAGCAAAGCGTGGCAAGGAAACCCCAAGGCTGTCAATCCGAGTGGAATTTCGGAAGTGCATCATCATCAGCATCGAGTTTGAGGTAAGGGGGGAGAATTTAACGGTTAAATGGTTTTGCATGAAAATTGGTAGAAAGGGGAAAATCCCTAATCCCCATAGGATATGATAATCTGATGTTGAATGCATGGTATTGATGATGTTATTATTGTGTTGAATCATATTGAAATCATTGCATGTGGCTGTGTTCGATTGTTTGAGTGTTCTGGAGCTTCTGAGTAAAATCGAAGTAGAGCCGGAAGTTGGTTGTTAGAGCTGAGTTGATTATTTGTCTGATAGAATCGGGAATAGACCTTATAATTAAGTCGTAGTATGTTGTTTGGTTGCGAGTGGATGTTAGACTCGATTTAATCGGATGGAATCGGTGATGGGTGTTGTTTCTCCTGTGCATAATTTTTCTAAGTACGCAGGTATTCGCTGGGCGAATGAGGGGCGAGCCTTCGCTAGGCTTCGCCAGGAGAACTAGCCAGCGAGTGCTGGCAGAAGCTTGTGTCTGGCTTCGCCAGAGGTTTCGCCAGGCGAATGACAGCGAGTGTTCGCTGCGGGGCTTCGCCAGGCGAATGTGCCAGCGAGCCCGACAGCAGTTTGTGTTTCTACTATTGTTCTGTTGGCTTCCCTTGTTGTTTTTGACCCTTGTTGGTCATGTTTGATGTTGGGCGTGATCGTGAGCCGTGGTGAGAGTATGTGTGGTGTAGGAAGTGAATTCCTTGATATTCCCTTAATTGGAGGGATTACATCAGTGTATGTTATGATACATGTATGTGGTGATATAAGGGTGCTGAGTGCGATCGGATTGATGTACTGTGATGATAGCTGGGTGTTGAGAGTATGTTGAGGTGTGGGAGGGCCGTGTGGCCGGCGTTTATCGCATTGGACATAATCGGTAGATTATGTGTTAAGTTTAGATAAGTACGGATGTGTATGTGATATGTATGTACTATGGGCTATGTGTGGTGATGTGTTGTGAGATGGATGTGGATCAGTAGGATCGTTACGCCTTGTGCGCGTGGTATTGATGTGTTGCGTGAGATATGTGGATCAGTAGGATCGTTGCGCCCTGAGTGCGTTGTGGTGATATGTTGTGATGAGAGGATCCGTGGGATCGATACGCTTTACATGCGTCGTGTTTATGTGTTGTTGTGACGATTGGGTCAGTAGGACCGGTATGCCTTATGTGCATGATGTGTGATATGTTGCGTGGTGATTTGATCAGTAGGATCGATGCACTTTGTGTGCTTGTGTATGTATGCATTTTATGATGCGATGGACCAGTGGGGCCGTGTGCACTGTGTGTGCTTGTTATGTATGTATTTTATGATGTGAAAGGATCCGTGGGATCGGTACGCCTTGTGCGTCGTGTATATATTGTGTGAAGGGTGGATCAATAGGATCGGTGTGCACTTGGTGTGCTAGATGTTTGATGCGTGTGAATATCGTGGTGTGCTCCCGTAGAGGAGGGTGATGGCCAGTTGTCCATCGACATTTATTGTTGTGCTCCCGTAGTGGAGGGTGTTGGCCCAGTGACCATCAATATTATTATTGTGCTCCCTGTGAGGAGGGTGATGGCCAGGTGTCCATCGGTGCGTGTGCTCCTTTATGGAGGGTTGATGGCCAAGTGCCCATCGTTGATGTGTGCTCCTTTGTGGAAGGTTGATGGCCCGGTGTCCATCGTTGTTGTGAGTCGGTACCACATATCGTTATGTGAGTGGCATGTGTTGCATTGTTGCGTGTAGTGATTGTTGATGGTGGGGCAGTAGGCCCGGATGTGTTGCGTTTGTGGTATGCATAGTGTGTTGGCATGGGACAGTGAGTCCAGATATGTTGTATGTGAAATAGTGATTTATTGTTTCTGCCTTTCATTTCATGTACCATTATACCATTATTATTTGATGGTGATTCTCACCCCTTGCTGTTGTTGTGGTCTATGCTTCTTCGGAAGTACAGACAATCCAGGTGCTTAGCTAGTTGGATTGTGGTGTCTCCGTAGGACTGCTCTGATACGTAACACTAGGGACTTTTTGAGAGTTTTATCACTTTATGTTGATTTTGTGTGCCCCTGTGGCGTATCTGACTTTTGTATATGTGTGGTGATGCTATGTATTTTGGGCAGAGAGCTAATGTTGTACATATGATGGTGATGATGGTTATGGATGATGTGTGTATATGATATTTTGTGTTATGACAGACCATATCTTTTCCGCTGCAATTTTATTTGAAAAATTCAGTTAAATTAACTTGAAAAAAAATGTTTTGTGGAATTGTAGTGTGAATTGTGACATCCCGTTGTGGGAGATACTCTGATGTGTGCTTATTTAATTGCTTTATTTTATTTTGGGAAATAGGGTGTTACATCAGGCGCGCCTCACCGATATGTTTTTCTTGTATATTTTTGTGGTGCAGACTAAGAGTTTAAGTCAACACCTTCTAATGTATTTGTCTCATCCCACTATTTTTTTATGCAAATATTAACATAATTTTTTGTATTTTTAGACTTAAAATATGCAATGCATCTGTCCAACCCTATTCTCAATTTTTTTTTAAACGGAAAAAAAATTTAAGTCCGCATCTTTAACTATACCCCCTCACCTCTTTTTTTTCTTCAAAATTTTGTGAACAAGTTTAAATTAAGCTTTGTCACCCCTACTCAGCATTTCATAATGAATTAATTATTTAAATAAATAATACCTTAAAATGAATAAACATATTACTTTTAAATATAACATTAATATATTTTACAATTATAATGCATTAATTAATACTTCTTTCATCAAAGTTAACCTCTTTCACTTTATATTTATGATTGTAATAAATACACCAATAATCAATTAAAATAGTTTAATAAAAAAATTATTCTTTCTCCATTATTTATATACTTCCTTTAAAAAAAATATTAGTTGTGGAACTCAGCGTGTATTATCAAAGCTCAAGGGGAAAAAAATTTCAAATAGCAATGACGTTTATTAAAAGTCAAAGTTAAGGTGAGTTGGTCTTAAAAAAAATGTAAGAATAAACTATTACATGTTACTCTTTCATGTTCAAAAATAACAAAATAAATTGAGTAATTTATACATATTAAAAAGATAAAAAAATACTTTTACTAAAGAAGAATACTCATCGTGTATTAATGTAATATTTACAATGATTTGATAGATTGAATGCATTATTGAGAATACGATGTTAGGTTAATATATCCCTTATTTGAAATGAATGAATAAGGACAAATCACCTAAACTAATACAAATTCATTCTAGATGAAACCTTTACTACTATAACATTTGTTGCTTGTTTAATAAACAAACCAACCATAAACCAAGGAAGTTATGAAGGTACTTTCAATATCATTGTCATTTACCAAACACAACAAACACATAAATTTGCACTACACCTTATAGAAAAAGACATCAAAACTATTCACTCTCTTCTAATTCCTTCCAAATTCCCACTACACCTTAGAAAAAAATACACACACTTCAATGGCTAGGATCCAAAGAAAGCTCTTCCCAACAGAAACTACCTCAAACCAAACCTTAGATTGTTATGGCTTTTGTGATCCTTTATGTCCTTCAAATTGTTACACTAACACAAATTACTATTTCACACCCCCACCTTTAGAACATACTACACAAGTTAACCATATTGGCTCCTACTTTATCATCCTCATTTCATTATTCTCATTGATTTTCATCATCATTGTTTTCTATTTAATTAAAGTTAAATGCTATAATGAAATGTGTAGTTGGAGAATCAATAACTCGGTTCGCGGTAACTCCGAAGAGCTTCTCAATGAAAACCAAGTCAATCGCGATCAAAATCACGATCACCCTGTGTGGCTCATCGCTACGGTTGGTTTGCAACAATCAATTATAAACTCGATTACCGTGTGCAAGTATAGAAAAAACGAAGGGTTAATCGAAGGAACGGATTGTTCGGTTTGTTTGAATGAGTTTCATGAAGATGAAACTTTAAGACTATTGCCAAAGTGTAGTCATGCTTTTCATATTCCTTGTATTGATACTTGGTTGAGATCTCATACTAATTGTCCTCTTTGTCGAGCCGGTATTGTTTCCAACAACGTTACTTCTGAAGTAACTTTGAGTTCGGAGCATGAAAATAACAACTTGGGAAGAAATCAAGAGACTCAAATGGAGAATCTAAGGAGTGATCAAGAGAATGTGTTGAACAACAATATTGTTATCAATGTTCCATTTGAAAACATGATTGGAGAATCAAGTGATGAATCATCTGATCCTAGAAGATATCATCAAGTTGTTGAGAAAGAGATGCATAAGATTAGTGTTTGGAAGGTTATTACTCAAAAAAGTAGCAAAACAATGCGTCGATGTTCGATTGAAGAGCGTTTGCATGTAAGGCCCGTGGCTATGAAAAAGTCTTTAAATCTACATGGAAGGAAGAGTTTCAAAAAGAGATATGCGACTATAATTTGAGAATGATTCTCTACTATTTCAAGAATCAGTGTGGTTCAAAATTTCGAATTGTTATCAAATATAAGAAAGGTTCTAAAGAATCTAAACTCATTTTTTCTGTTAGAATTTTCAATCTATTAGAGGTGAACATATTGTATAATGTGAGATATGCTTAGAGTTTTAACTTTTATTTTTATTAAGAGTTGGGTTAGTAGAGATTCTACTAATGATCAATGAATATAAAGACATGTCACTGTGTAAGTTTTATCACTTCAACAAATGAACCCGATCTTTTCAGACAAGTGATGCAATTGGACTAAACTTGAGTTTCAAGACATAACAATTCTGATATTTTCTTCCACGTGAATACAATTTTGATCTGCTCAATATGTTTAAAAGACTTTTATATGATCTATGAAATTTATGCACAAAAATTTTCTCTAAAAAATGTTATGAACACTTAGAAACAATAGATGAATTGTTTGAAAAATAAGAAAGGAAGAGGCAATTTGAAAGATGGAAATTCTTTGAATTTATATGGCACATCATACCCCTTTGAATCATGACAAAGCTTAGAAAATAGTCATGATAAAATGCAATGGTTTAGGAGAGGTTATGAGGAATGAGTGCCATGAAAGGATAAAAAATCAGAGTTTTTCAAAAATGCAGCAATGATTGGATTTTTTGGTCTCCACAATCGATTGCATTATTTATAACGTTTTAAAAATATTTGAAATTTGACTTATGACAATTGATTGTGCATCCCATGCAATTAGTTGTTATGTTTGAATTTTTCACTTTTTCCTTAATGACAATCAGTTGTTAATTCCATACAATTGATTGTATTGTGTAATAAATTGAAAGCTTTGCTACTATAATGCATGAAAATTGAATAATTTATAACAATAATTGATTGTTTCATGACATTAAAGTTCTTGAATCTTTTCTAAGTAAAATTACACACTCAAAGTTCTAACTCATGAAACTTGAGTACTTGAACACGCCCACTCAACCACTAGGAAAAATATTTGCTTGTTAAATACATTCTCATTAAATGTTCTCATGTAGAAAGATATGTAATGAAAACTTATGATGAATGAAAGTTTAAGAAAAACTTTTAGAATGTTTTAGATGAAGAGATTGAGCAGCTAAAGTATATACACAAATGAAATGTCATTGGTACCTCAATCTTCAAGATTCAATCCTTCAATTTTCCAAAGCTCATGCTATATTGATATTTGATTTCATTATTTTTCTTCTTAATCTTTCTTCTTATGATAGCTTTTTTTCTTCATCAAAATCAAGCTAATAAGGCTGAACACGTCTTCTTCATAAATCACTGCCCTAAGTCTCCAATTTTGAGCCTAGGAAGCTGCAAAAAATCAAAAAGAGAAGGAAATAACAAGCATAAAGGACCATAACCAACCAACTATCTCGCCAGAAGTCCATGTCTAATTCGTTGCCTAGTTTGCAAGTCACACTCTTAGTAAACCAAAGAGATTCATCCTTCCAAGCACCCAAAGGTACCATTAGACCTCTCCACCAAATGGAAACCTTCTTTTTGATAACCGTCCAACTAAATATTTGCTTTAATTTCTCTATATTTGAATGGAAAAATAGAAAGTCATATTGAATTATGATTAAAAAAATCCCCACTCACTCAACAATGCAAAGTTAATACTTTCGTAGCATTTGACCCCTAACCTCATGCTTCCTTTGATTTACAAACATTTGGCCATAAGACCTAGTTGATTTTCCTTTTTTTTCCAACACCACCTTGTAGCACCCCAAAATTTTCCCATCTTTTCTCTTGGATTTTGTCTTATACTTCACTGCATCTCATGTTCATCTTTTGCATAACATTGTTATTGACAAGGATCAAGGCATCATGGTTTGCTTCTAAAGATAGGAGGGACATGTTTCTTCAACCTCAAGCAAGGTTTCTTATTGAATTTATGATATTCTCAAGCTCCCAAAATTCCCTCTTCCTCAAATATGATTCAAGGCAACATTATATATGGTTCACCATGGCTTATTGTGCAAGAAATCACCAAGAGATTCGAGTTTGGTTCAAGGTGTTTGACCTAATTTAGTAACTTGTAGATGCTATGATCAAATGGGAATAACTCCTTCATTTTTCAACATATTGAGGTGGTTATTTTTCTAATGAACTCTTCTCATCACCCCCTACAAGTTCTTTTTGCAAGGAAAGATCAAATTATGCTTGGAGGGTCATCAAAAGTTTGATGATATTACAAGTCATTTTGAGTTTTGGAAGGATTTTATAGTTAACTTCTCAAGATCATAAGTTGGTCAATTTTTATCATTTGAAGCCCATTATTTTTCTAGAATGAACTTGAAGTTATCCTCTACAATATTTATTTAAGGTGGAAGTACCAAAAACTCATGGAAGGTCTTGGTTTTTGTCAAAACATTATAGGTCACTTTTGGTCCCTAAAAAGACTTGAAATTTTTCTATGTGTTTTGCAAATTTTGAACCTTTTCAGGGAGGCTACTTTGAAGGATCATATCTCCCAACTCAGATTGCTGAATCAATACTTTCTTTTCACATTGCAAAGTTGGCATCATCCTTTATCCAATGCAAGAAGAATCATTGCAAAAAAGCCTCCTACATTGTGAGCACCTTGGTTGCAAAGTTGAGTTTTCTCTCCAAGTCAGAATTAAATTTGATTGAATTGGCCTCTAATCATCAAATTAAGCCACGAATTCAATCTAAACATGATTAACCAACTTGCGTGGGTTGATTAGAGCCTTGAAACGTAAGGTTTTTAGTGAGTTTTGACATTTTTCAAGTCACACTTTGCTCATGTTGCAGGTGTGCATAAATTCACCTCAATTCACATCATTCACACTTCCTCTTCATTTAGAAAGATTCCCCCTATAAATAAGGGACCTATTCCACTCATTTTCACAAGCTTTGATAGCTAGAATCACACTGCTGAAATCCCATTTGGACTCTTAAGCTTGAACTTTGAATATTCATTTCCACACCCTAAACACTCAAATTCTCCATTCAGTTAGCTTCAGCAACATTCAGTGAAGCTAACCAGCTCAAGAACTTGAAGGATCATGGTCTGAATCAAGCTAGGGAACTCCATTTTCAGAGCTTTAAAGTTGAACTTCAACAGGTACAATTCTTAACCATTTCAACTCAAATTTGTTGCTAAGATGTAGTCATTGATATGTTGATGTTGTTAGGATTGTTAGATTTTAATTTTGGTTGAGTTTTGATGCTTAATTTTCAAATCCGTGTTTGCTTTTATTTCTGTTTTTTTTTTTTAAATCAAGTGAGCTATAGTTTAAAGAAATATGGCGCGATGATATGGTTGAGATCGTCTTAAAAAGACGCATCAAATGAAACCACTATGAGCTCCAATGGTTATGGTTTGAAGGATCCACGAATTTCTACATTCTCTGAAATTTTCCAGTCTCTGGAGGTTGAAGATGATGATCTCACAGTCCATCATGTCACTTGTTTTAATCTGGTGGCTTTGACTTTCGCTAGTTGGAAATGATGAGTTTGACTCAGATCCACCGTGGATGCACGTTTTCTGGCCTTTGGATCAGACCCGTCATTTAATGAAGCTTGATTCAACACATCTTGTTTTTTCTGTTTTATTTTCTTTTTTCTAAATTATTTTTAAATTTATTTTATATTCAGAAATTCATAGAAAATTCATTTTTAATCAGAAAAATACCAAAATAATTTCTAAAATTTTCTTTTATTTTTCTCTTTCTGATTTTTATTTTTGTGCATGTTTATTTTTTCATTTTCTATTTTTTTTAATTTTAATTTGTTTGAGCCAATTCTAATAGGTTTAAAATTGTTTTTAAGAATTTTAAAATTATGAGAAAAATATTATATGATCCAATGATGGTTTAAGCATGTTTGAATGAATGTTTGTTTGATCATATGGATGTTGTGATCTCTTCTTGTTCATACCATGTTCTCATGTTTCCTTTGCATTTGTTTGCACGTTTGTATGATTGGGTGTTGACTTCTGTATGATTGGTATGCATGATGTGTTTCCTTGTGCTCTCTCTTTGATCATTGATATGGCTTGAGTATGATGTTTTGTGCTTGCTTACCTACTTTGTTTCTTGTACCATTTGATTTCATTTCATCTTGTTTTGCGATGGTGAATGTTTGTTTGATTCTTGTTGGATGATGATGTTTGCTTTGCTTGAGTTTGAAATGAATGTGCTTGTTGTCTTTATCTTGGTTTGGCAATGACTTCTTTCTTGTCCATTCTTCACTTTTCTTCTTTCTTCTTCATCTTTCTTCTCTTTTTTGGAACTTGTTTAAGTTTCATTCTTGTTTTCATTTGTGATTGAATTAATAGGCAGATGTAGAAATTAAACACTAAAATAAAACTCTAGTCTCTATGATGATCAAATTGAATTTCAATATTAACACAATTGGTCCCCAGCAACAGTGCCAAAAACTTAACACGCCACTAGTGTACGATAAATGTTAGAGTAGTAAAAATATAGAACCTTAGAGACCAATGGTTAAGTACCGATTTCTATCCTATCGGTGTAAAGCTAGAGTAACCAAAAATGGGTTTTGAAAACAGCTTAATTGAACAAGAACTTTTGGAAAAATAGTTTAAATGTGTAAAACAATATTTAAAAAATAGGACCTAGAGTTATGACTCCTATCTTAAATTTCTCCATATGACCTAAGCATTTCTATTATGGGAATTCCAACTCAGTTTATAGAAAAATAGATAAATATGGAAATACCTACTTTCGCTAGCCTATTGCCCTACCTCTAACGAACAGGACACTGGTCCACTTTTACACGCGCAGAAGCGTTTGTTAGTGGCCATTACATTGTACAACTATTAAAAAATGGAACTTTTCTCAATTTCATCTGATCACTTTCGTGACTTCAGACTTGACTGTTTAAAAACCTGCTTTTCGGCATTGCCTCTACCCTTTCAGCATAAGTTAAATACCTAAAAACAACACTCCTACTTTTGTAGCGAGTTTTGAAT